CCTCCCCTCGTGGCGTTGGTAGGGGTTATGATAGAATGATTGATGACGGGTAATCATAAGAAGATTGGGGTTATGTATGTTTTGTTTGGTGTGTGGGCTGGTGTGTTGGGGTTGTCCTTATCTGTTGTAATTCGTCTTCTTCTTTCTTCTCCTTGGTCTGTTAGTTGGTGTTTGTATGTGGGTCAGTATTATAATGTGGTGATTACTGCTCATGGGGTGATTATGATTTTTTATATGATAATACCTATTATGATGGGTGGTATGGGGAATCTTATGGTGCCTGTGATGCTTGGGTTGCCTGATATGGCTTTTCCTCGACTTAATAATTTGGGGTTCTGGTTGCTGCCTCCTTCGTTTCTGTTGTTCTTGGCCTCTATGTTGTTCTCTGGAGGGTCTGGCACTGGTTGAACTCTTTATCCTCCTTTATCTTTGTTTACGGGTCATCCTGATTTTAGGGTTGATTTGGTTATCTTCTCTTTGCATCTGGCAGGTGTTTCTTCTCTGTTGGGGAGGATTAATTTTATTAGGACTAGCCTAAGTGCTAGTAGGTCCTTGACTGTTCTTGAGTTGCTCCCTCTATTTGTGTGAAGGATTATAATTACTTCTGTTATGTTGATTGTGTCACTTCCTGTTCTTGCGGGCGGAATCACTATATTGTTGATGGATCGTAATCTGGGTACCTCTTTCTTTGAGACTTCTGGAGGTGGTGACCCTGTTCTTTTTCAGCATATCTTCTGGTTCTTTGGACATCCTGAGGTGTATATTCTTGTCTTACCTGCTTTCGGAGCAGTTTCTGAGAGTGTTACTTATTTGAGTGGTAAGTCTAAAGTCTTTGGTCCCTTAGGGATGATTTATGCAATGGTGAGTATTGGTATCCTAGGAAGATTTGTATGGGTGCATCATATGTTTACTGTTGGTTTAGATGTGGATACTCGTGCTTATTTTGCGGCTGCAAGTATGATTATTGGTATTCCAACTGGAGTTAAAGTGTTTAGCTGATTAGCCACTCTTTATGGTGCTCCATGTTCTTTCTCTCCTTTATTCTGTTGAACCTTAGGTTTTGTGTTTATTTTTACTCTCGGTGGTTTAACAGGGATTAGTTTGGCTAATGCATCCCTAGATGTTCATTTGCATGATACTTATTATGTTGTAGGCCACTTTCATTTTGTCTTAAGGTTAGGAGTGGTTTTTGCTATTATAGTCTCTTTTTCTCTGTGGTTCCCTAATCTTATAGGCTAT